CTTTCATGGATCAAAACCCACTTCCTCAGACACTGTTTTGGGGCAGAGGGGAAACAGGAGATATAAGAAATAGAATATAAACAAAACATAGAACATAGAACAAAATATAGGCTGCTTTGAAACAGGAGATATAAGAAATAGAATATAAGCAAAACATCTGGGGCAGGGGCCATTGTATATATATGTCATGCCACATATATACAATGGCCCCTGCCCCAGATGATAAAATGTTTATAGCAGATTTTGCTTCTGCTGAATAATGACAACATTACAAAAATATTGTAGCACTGAGTTCCCACTTAAAAGAGCATCCTTTGTGCCTTTACTAGGGGAAGTAAAATGTGTGATTTGTGGCACACTGCCTTGCTTCCAGGACATCAACACTATAGACAAAATCCTATTGCCAGCCTAACTCCACTGTGTAACATTTGGCATCAAATTGCAAGTCAACATAGATATTATTTCTTATGAGCTGAGTTGTGCAACTTAGTATGCAACTACTTTACTTGAGGGTAGCTGACCAGTTCAGTACTTTTCAAATAGACCTTGGAAGATTTAGTCTCAAAATCTCTCCAAATCCCTCAGCCATCCTAGTCACTAGACACAGTGACTGGCTAGTGAGCTGTAGTCCATAAACTAACTTTTCCAGACTTTGGGTCCACAGCAGGATTATGCAGTACATACTGCTTCACTCTCCAGGAGAAAACAAAGATGAGGACATTCAGGAGATGATTTTACAGAACACTGAAATGTTGTAGCACCAGTCTATCGGCTGAGATTAAAATTGGGCAGGCCAATCTTATGGAATGAAATGCAACATTAGTTCTGTTGAAGTGAATGGGATGCATTGACTGCAACTATCTTAAATCCTATTGATTTTATTGAGGCTGCTCGGAGTAGGACAAACACAGAATTTAGGTATTAAGCTGTTTCAGTGCTATAACAAAACCAAAGGTTTGCACTGCCCAAGAAGCATGTGCCACAAAGTGGGACTCCTTAAATGCTCACACACACTTCTTCTTTACTACTCTCAAATCCTCAGGGCAGTTCTTGTTCAGCTCTAGTGAAAATCAAACATAAAGCCATTGGATTTCTTTCAGCTTTCTGACCCATGTTAGCAATATGTCAATGCAAACCTGTCCTGTCCATAATGAGATTTGCTACAAATTTAATCACTAAGGCCCAAATCCTACTGAAGAAATCCATATGCATTAAGGGCAGTCGGACAATCTGTTTTCCCCTCTCGTTTGCTGTCTGTCCTGCGGCCAAGCACATAATTTTTTCAGCCAGGAAGTGTACCCAGCAAGCAACATGGGTAGATTCATTTGTGCAGTTGCCCATTTATGCTATTTGAACGCAACAGGATTCTGTTTAAAATAGATGTCAGTTTATGTAGAACAGTGGTTCCCAACCTTGAGTCTCCAGATGTTCTTGGACTACAAGTCCCAGAAATCCTGGCCCACACAACCAATGGTGAAGGCTTCTGGAAACCATGGAGTAGACCATCTTCTTCTGAGTAACAAATTTGTTATGTATTTCAATTATCTCTGACTCCTTTTTCCTGGATAAGCACCCCCAAGAAATAAAGTCACAGGCATGGGATCTGAATTGGCAAGGTTTCAGCTCAGGCTGATGGTTTCAAATTAATGTGAGTGCAAAGTACTCTTAGGATGTCAGGGCCAGAGCTTCGAAGCAAGTAGTTCTGTTTTTCAATAACAACAGTGTAACTGTATTACACTACAATTGGAAGTTAAGGAGTGATTACTTCATCCCATCTGAGATGTAAATGTTTATAGTTACTTTACAGTTAACAGGCTATGGCCTGACTAAAAGATGGAGAAGAGGTATCACATGCTTTAACTTTCAATTCCTTCTGCTGTCTCACATTTTGTTGTAAGGGGGAGATGAGGACGAAAGGGATGAGAGGGATTTAGAATACAGTTGACAATTAGGAACACATAGTTACTTTTTTAAAAAAACTGAAACTGTAAGAGTAAATAAGTAGTTTCCTGGAAATCTAACTAATTATTTTTAAAACTTCTCAATCTCTGATCATGGCACAGTGAGATATTTATTCTCTCCCACCATCCCTATGTTATGGCCCTTTCACAAGTTGTTTGCTTGGTACTGAAAGATCTAAAAAGGCTACTTTATTGACAGACTGTTCAAACACTCCCCTTGTAATATGAACAGAGACAGGCATCAGAGGCTGGCATCAGTAGTCTGCTGGCTGAGGCACACATCTCACCTGAATCAAAGGAATCCAGCTTTCTAATCAAATATTCTGTTTGAACAATGGACGACCGTTTGTCCATGGGAAGCCAATGAGCAGGACTTGGATGCAGCTAAACCCTTCACTTGTGGTTCCAGCAATTGATATACAGATCTATACCCCCCCTCTGTTACTGGAGGTGATATACAACTGTTGTAACTTCTAACCCCCAATTGTGAATTGTGAATTTGTCTGAGACCCTTTAAAAAGTTGTCCAAGTTGGTGTCATCACTCAGAATCCTAGTCTGTGACTTTATCCACAATAAGCATCAGAGTTGGGCACAAGAGGACATAAACCCCTCAAGAGCTTCCAAATCTTTAAAGATTCAGCCCATCATGGTTTACATAATATATTGTAACTTCTAACCCCCAATTGTGAATTGTGAATTTGTCTGAGACCCTTTAAAAAGTTGTCCAAGTTGGTGTCATCACTCAGAATCCTAGTCTGTGACTTTATCCACAATAAGCATCAGAGTTGGGCACAAGAGGACATAAACCCCTCAAGAGCTTCCAAATCTTTAAAGATTCAGCCCATCATGGTTTACATAATATAACTTATCCCCAGAATCCTAGTCTGTCACTTTATCCACAATAAGCATCAGTGCTGGGCACAAAAGGACATGAAGAGCTTCCAAATCTTTTAAGAATCAACCCATCATGGTTTACATAATGCAGTTTTAAAGTCATGTTACTTATCCCTGGACCATAAAGAAAGTAAGCAGACCGCCGAAGAATTGATGCCTTTGAATTGTGGTGCTGGACGAGGCTCTTGAGAATCCCCTGGACTGCAAGGAGAACAAACCTATCAATTCTAAAGGAAATCAACCCTGAGTGCTCACTGGAATGACAGATACTGAAGCTGAGGCTCCAATACTTTGGCCATCTCGTGAGAAGAGAAGACTCCTTGGAAAAAACCTTGATGTTAGGAAAGTGTGATGGCAAGAGGAGAAGGGGACGACTGAGGATGAGATGGTTGGACAGTGTCTGTGAAGCAACCAACATGAACTTGACACAACACCAGGAGGCAGTGGAAGATAGGAGGGCCTGGCGTGCTCTGGTCCATGGGGTCACGAAGAGTCAGACATGACTAAACAACTAAACGACGACTTATCCCTGAAGATATTACATATTGGGTGTAGATTCTGATGATCTCCAGTTGGGCAGCAGGACAAGGTACATCCAAATAAATGTCTACAACGTTTTTATGAAATGTAAAGTCAGTACCAACTTATAGAAGCTGGAATGAATGAATGAATGATCAACCTCAAATTTCCTCTCATTAACAGCTTTGCTCAGGTCTTGCAAACCCAAGGCCAGGGCTTCATTTGCCTATCTGGTTGCTTAAGACCACTCTAGGTGGCTACAACGTTTTTATGCAATGTAAAGTCAGTATAAGCTGGAATGAATGAATGAATTGCTCAGGTCTTGCAAACCCCAAGGCCAGGGCTTCCTTTACTGAGTCAATCGGTCTCATATTTGGTCTTCCTTTGCCACTCTCAACTTCCCATGGCCTTATAATCTTTTCTAGTGAATCTCCTGTCCTCATGATGTGCCCAGAGTACGATTGCCTCACTTTTAGCCATTTGTGCTTCTAAAAAGAGTTCAGGCTTGATGCGATCTAGAACCCACAATAATGCTTGTTGTTTCGTCGTTAAGTCGTGTCCGACTCTTCGTGACCCCATGGACCAGAGCACGCCAGGCCCTCCTGTCTTCCACTGCCTCCTGGAGTTGTGTCAAACAATAATGCTAGGTAAAGGTAAAGGTTCCCCTTGACAATTTTTGTCCAGTCTTGTTCAACTCTAGGGGGCAATGCTCATCCCCGTTTCCAAGCCACAGAGCCAGCGTTTTGTCCGAAGACAGTCTTCCGTGGTCACATGGCCAGTGCGACTTAGACACGGAACGCTGTTACCTTCCCACTGAGGTGGTCCCTATTTATCTACTTGCGTTTGCATGCTTTCGAACCGCTAGGTTGGCGGGAGCTGGGACAAAGCAACGAGAGCTCACTCCGTCGCGTGGATTTTATCTTACGACTGCTTGGTCTTCTGACCCTGCAGCACAGAGGCTTCCGCGGTTTAGCCCGCAGCGCCACCACGTCCCGGAGTTGGATCAAACAATAATGCTAGTCCACAATTAATATAGCATATGGGTCTCATGATTTAGTCTCTGGCTACATTTCCAAAGTGAACACGCTTTTTGCAGCAGCCCCGAAAATTATTCTGAAATCTCCAGAAGGTTGCTTCTATAGCAACTAACACAGTCTACCCAACACTGAGCAGCAGTTAGCTTCCATCTGTCTCTCGCTCGCTGTGGTCTCCTCGCACAGGGCCGTCCTTCTTTCTTCCGAATGCCGCTGAAGCCCAGTGTCCTCCAGTCACTTACTTGACTTGGGGGCCCGGCCGGCAACCAGCAGAAAAACCCAAGGCTTTCTCTCCTCCTCCTCCCCTCCGCCCCCCTCTCCACCTTTAGTCTTCAAGTTGGTCGACAGAATCCGCCTCTAAGTTTCAGGAGGCTGGAGCGGGGAAGAAGTTGAAGCAGCTTCTACCGCGGGCTTGCCAGGAGAGGGCGCCGCGCCTCCTTTTCCGGACGCCGCAGTGGGAAGGAGCCCGCGCAAAGCCGAGCGTGTGTGGGGCGCCGCTTGGGAGGCAGCGGGCGCCGCTGGGTGGCCGCTCCCCGCGCCGCGTTATATAGCTCTCCGCGGCTCGGCGCGCGGCTCCCCCTTCTTCTTCTCCGGCGCTGCCCTCCGCCAGGGCGGGATGTAAGCGCTGCCGGGAGAGAACGGGAGGCGCGGAGGAGCGCGCGAGGGCAGCAGCGGAGGAACCCAGGGAGCGGCGGGTGGGAAGGGGGCTTTTCCCTTTGTCCTGCTTGAGGGAGCGAGGACCGGCCGGGAGGCGGCAGCTCCGCCAGGTAAGTCGCTCCTATTCCTTCAGCATCCTTGCCTCACTTTGGGGAGCCACCGAGCACGCATATATGCACATTTGAGTTCTTAGGAGGTAAAGTGGGATAGAAATGTAACTAACTAACAATAAAATAAGCATGGCATAAGTCTGGACCCAAAATAGACCATTAAGGATCTCATACTTACCATCAGCCTGGGACTTTCCTATTATATTTGACCTGGAAATGTCTAAATGCTGGCCTCTAGCTGACCCAATTACAAAATAACCAAAATTGTACTGGTAATAAAAGTAGATTCTGGAGTAGTCTTGGTTACGCAAGTTTTTAAGCCCGTGTGTTTCGCCGCTCTCTCCCGGCACCTGCTGCCTTACACGGCGAGGCGGTCCCCGGACACCGAAGCCATCGTTGCGCTGCTTTTCGGGAGAGGACCTGGGAAATCTCTCCCCCCCTCCCTCCCTTCCGCACGCCACACACCCTTCGGCAGGCAGAGAGCAAATTAGCCGAAGAGACATAATGACAACAACAGAACCAAAAGAACTCCTCATGTCTGGGCTTTTTTTTTTTTTGCTGGCAGA